CTTTGCGTAGGGTAACCATCCATGTTCAGGAGTGGGAAGGGGCAAGGCGAGTGAGCTGAGGCAGTTAGGGACTTTGATTTGGGTCTGTCGTCTTGAATACTCTCGAATCCAAGTTCCTGGAGGCACATCTCCGTCTGTGGCTTTCGGAACTTTCTGGAGTCCACAGGGTCTTGTAGGGTGCAGCTCTCTGTAAAGTCATCTGCCTGTTACTGCCTCCCCCCACCTTTACCTCTTCTCACCCCTGATGCTTGCTGACCTTGGGCAAGGTCACAGCAAACATGCTTGTCTGCATGGTTTCCCCATCAACCTCCTTCCTGTAGGCTGGCTGCCGCTTCCTGGGGCTTCGCTGTTCTAAACGAGTTAGACTCTTCTGCACAGTGAGGCCATCCTCATTTGGTCTGGAGGGATGTGATCTCCTCAAGGATAAATAATTCTTTTTGTTGTTGACATTAACAAATGTCTCGTATAGTGTTACCTGGTGACAGATTGTTGCCACACTCGTGGCGAGTGCAACAGGAGTGACAAGCTACAAGCTTGTCACCGTTGTTACAACTGAAAGCAACACAACATTGTGTCAACTCTTCTGGAAGAAAGTAATACAAAGTGTCCTCAGGAGAGATCTAAAGCGGTGGTGCTCTCTGTTCTCTTGGAATTCGGTGAAATATTTATTTTTTACAATCAGGAATGTTTTCTCTTCTCTGTTGTATTTCTATGATGCTGCTTTTGGGTTTTTCTGGTATCTTCCCAAGAAGCCCCACTATCTTTGTTGAACAACCGATGTGTGACTCATGAGTGGGCAGCCTGGCCCCCGCTGTTTTTATTTCTTTGTCTTTAACATTTACCTTTAGGGAAAGCTTCCAAAGTTCCCCATCTCATTTGATAAATTCAATTTTCTGCTTTTTCAAATCTGTTTTATTGCCTCTGGAACCATTTTAAATCCCTTACTTTTAATACTGTCAGGTCTTCTTTCCTCTTACCCTTTATTGCATCAGAAGTAACAAAGAGCCTGTATGGTCTGGACAGTGGAGGACTTGAAAGTTGTTTCGTGTAAAATGCATTTCCATGTTCTTTGGTGAATATTCTGCAAAGCTATATTGTTCCCCTGCCTCCTGAATGCCTTCTTAAATGTTTTCCTTTTATTTGGAACCTTTTGTGACGAGGTCCCATTCTTCTTCTGCGTTTTGTTCATTTGCTTTTTCTCTTTTGCTGTCTTTCTACGAGGGTCGTCTTTTGCGGTGCAATTTCCCTTCACAGAACAGAGGGTGTTCTCTTCGTCCCTGGTTTCCCTTGCTCCTGTTAGAGTTCCCAACAAGCATCCACCTGGAGGGGCCACTGAGCCTGTGTTCCCGTGCCGTGCCCCTGCGGCTTGTAGGGTGAGCCCTGAGCCCTGTGGAGGAGGATCGGGCTTGTTGATACTCCCAGCAGGGGACCCAGGGCCCAAAAGTTCCTGGGCTCTGGACTCGGTTAGGGTTGGCCTGGACCCATCCCCGGAGTGTAGGGAGGCGATGTCACACTTCCTGTTCCTTGTTAGCAAGACACCTCCTTGGAGCTTTCCGTGCGGGTGTCCAGGCTTCCTCGTGGGTCTTTGAACTCAGCTCACTGCAAAAGTTGCCAACCAGCCCCAGCACCATTTTGCTTTTAGATACATCAGGGGAGTTCCTCTAAGCTGCCTGCTGTTTTCTTTTTATGACCTCATGCTTAGGGTTGCCAGACTTAGCAAATAAAAATACGGGATTCCCCAGGACATTTGAATCTCAAATCAACAACAAATTTATGTACTTTCTCTTATACACATGCCCCTGTGATGTTTCTGTTTATTGGAAATTGAGACTTAATTGGGTTCCTGTACTTTAGCGGGCAGCCTTAACTGTGCCGTATTTTTTTGCACGTGGTGTCCCGTGTGACCTCTCAGGAATCCCTGTGGCTCCTGCCTGGCATCCCAAACTTCACGTTCAACACAGGTGAGAATCCTGTACCTGCTACCCCATCCCCTCAGGTTCCGCTTTCCGGTCGGCCCCGGGGGGAATGTAAAGGTTGGTCCTCAAATTGCCGTCTTCCCCATCTTTTGTAAAAGTACTGTTTAGGGAAATAATTATGTTTTCAAAAACGCTAAAATTAATATAAAATCTCTCCAATGCCACTAAATTGCTCTAAGATGGGAACATACCGCTTTCCTTCAGATTAGTGTTTAAGGCCGTGGCCTCGAAATCAAATGTGATTTTTTTCCTAATGGGTTATTAATTGAGATTTACTGGTTATCTGACATCTTCCTCATGTTTATGTAGAATTGGTGTTTGTAGGTTATAAGAGCCGCCCCTGTTGGGGATCCAAGGGTAATGAGTTTTGCTTCTTAGTCTGTTCTATGCATTGTGGAACAGAATTGGCATTATTTTCGCAGTTTTGTTTAAAAAAAAAAAAAAGAATAAAGGAAGTATAAGTAAATACCCTGAGTTTTTGGTCAATCTGGAGCCCTTTTAAGCAATAAACATTGATGTCAGATACCAGGAAAAAGACAAATGGGCCATCTGTGCAAGAAAGCTTAGAAATGACTTCCCTTTCAAGGATGTTTGCAGTGAACCCCTATTCCTTTCCCAAATAAAATCAGAAGACCCAGGGTCATTGTCCTTGGCATATGTAATCAGTTGCACAATTAAGATTGGTGTCCTTAAGGAGTAGGGGTCCGGAGTTGGACGGGAGATTTCTCACGGTCTTAGTGTCTAGTGTGGATCATGAACGATTTGCAACTTCACGATTTGGTCTTGGCACTTTCTGGAATGAAGGAGAAGCTGGTGTGAGATGGCTCGGGGCCGTTGTTCTGAGCCATGCCCAGGTGTATTTTTAAGAATCAGGAGACACAGTGGCGTTGATGTTGGTCTTAGTGTTCTTGTTGTGTGGAGAAGCTACAGTTACGTGGAGCTTTTGATGGGGTCGAGGATTCTAATTATAGACAGATGGCGGAGAGAACACAGCATCTCAAATCCTGCTTTAATAATATAATCCGCTCTTTGTCATATTAATGTCATAATTCCTTTGTCGATGCATCTGTTCATGCATGTATCAAATATTTATTCAGGACCTGGTATTTTCCAGGTGCTCTGCTAGGGACTGCGAAAACGTGGAGCAAAGGACCCAGGACCGGTCCCGGGAAGCATTCCGGAGAAGTGACTTCATAATGCCCCCCGGGTAGTGGCAGGGTGGAGGGGCCCGGGGAAACCGTGAAGCATAAGGTGCAGGACATTAGCAGAAAACCCACCCCCGTTCTTTGCTTTCACTAAAACTCACACTGCCAAGTACAGGAGTGTAGGAAACACGGATCCGGAGTGATTTCCAGGAAGTTTCAAAAACATCATCCTGTTATCTGGTATCTGGTTATACCTTTGATATTTTGATTTTGGGGAAAGAAATTCCTGTTTATTAGGTTAAACCTCACGGAATCAAACGGCTCACTCCTCTACAGTTTCCAGCAGTTCAGCACGACACAGACCTTGGCTGCTTCCTTGGGGAAGGTCTCAGTTAGGGTTGGCCTGGACCCTAACCTGGCGTGTCACGCCCTGCCGTGTCGCAGCTGGATGGGGCTTCGATGCCCTGGTCGGGCCGTCACGCTGCACACCAGCCCTGGGGGGATAGGCAGAGGGTTCAGGGACTGGCCTGTCACCTGGGAGCATATGCAGCAAAGCCGTGCGTGGGACCCCTGTCTCGGAGTTCTCGCTCTCTCCTGCACTCTGGGATAGCCGCTGCTGGGGTCTGGACTCAGGTGGGCTTTAAGCCTCAGAACAGGTGTTCCCGGGGGCCTTTGAAGCTGGTTAGCACAATGCAGGTCAGGGCCCCGGTTGCTTTCACTGCAGAATAACCAGAGAGAATCACAGGGCTACTAATGAGCAGGGCTTTGTGCGGCTTGTGGAACTGTGCCTAGAAAGTCAGTGTTCCCAAAGCCAATAATTTCCATTTCTAAAACCTGTTAAATTGGTTCTTGCATTGTGTAATTTCTATGTCTGTGTTTTTCTTACAGAAAATAAGGCATACTGTAAAAATAGCAGTTTCTTTTTTTCCCCCCTCCCCCTCTGATGGAGGGATATGTTCAGTAAGGAGAAAAAAAAGACTACCTTTTGTGCTCTGGGATCAAAACAGCTTTCAGGGAGGATACGGGTGTAATGAAAAAGGCATGTCTCCTGGGGATGTGGGGTGCGTGCCTGATACACTGGGGCCCGACAGGACACGGTCAGGTCCCCTCCCAGAGGGTCCTTCCAGCACATGCTTCTGGGCTTTGCGTCTCAGCTGAACCCTGAGGGGCGTGTGTAACTCAGGTGATTGTGAACGCCCATCTTTTTTTTTTTTTTTTTTTAAAGATTTTATTTATTTATTTGACAGATAGAGATCACAAGTAGGCAGAGAGGCAGGCAGAGAGAGAGGAGGAAGCAGGCTCCTTGCCGAGTAGAGAGCCCGATGCTGGGCTTGATCCCAGGACCCTGGGACCATGACCTGAGCCGAAGGCAGAGGCTTTAACCCACTGAGCCACCCAGGCGCCCCATGAACGCCCATCTTCATTCACCTTCTCCCCAAGTCTTTTATTGTTTCCTGGTGGCTGGAGTGTCCTTGGAGTGTGTGTCCGGGATGGAACGTGGAACGGAGAGGGTCGGGTGGGATGTCAACGGAGCTTCAGCGCCCTTGCTGTGAAAGTTATTTCTGGTCCTGGTCTCGGTTCGTCTGGTGGCGTTAACAGGGACAGCCTCCTCTGTTGACGCTGGCGTGCTCTGAGGTCTTCCCTAATCCTGGATGATCGCTCCTTTTAGCAAAAAGAGAGCACGTCGTAGGCAGCATCCCACCGTAAAAGCAACATACTTACAATCGGATGAGTGGATCGTGTAAGAAGATTTGGAGACAGTGGCAGGGTTGGGACGAAGATGGCGATGGGTGACAAGGGGTAGGAAGACGGGGGAAGTATGGTTCGTTTAGCACAGGCCTGGGTTCCTAACGCCTGCACTCCGATTCCCTCCCGACAGTGACCGAGAGCCGTGGCGTCCTGGAGAGCGTCCAGAGGTTCTCCTTGCTGCCCACCTACCTCCCCGTGACCTACCACATCAACAACGCCGACGTGTCCTTCTTCTTGAAGGAGGCCAACCAGGACATCATGCGCAACTCCAGCCTGCAGTCCCGTGTGGAGTCCTTCCTGATTTACAAGGCCAAGCGGCTGCCCGTCCTGAACGCCAGCTACGGGCCCTTCTCCATCGAGCAGGTGGTGCCCCAGGACCTGATGCTGCCCTCTAGCCCCTTCGGATTCACCAACAAGTTTTCCCTCAACTGGAAGCTGAAGGCGCACATCCTGCGGGACAAGGTGTACCTGAGCCGGCCCAAGGTGCAGGTGCTATTCCACCTGCTGGGCCGGGACTGGGCGGCCCCGAGCCCTGGCGAAAGGCTGCCGTGCCTGCGCCTGTTTGCCTTCCGCGAGACCCGGGAGGTGCGGGCCGGCTGCCAACTGCAGGGGGCCCTGGGGCTGTGCGTGGCCGAGCTGGAGCTGCTGGCCGCCTGGTTCGGGCCCCCCAGCGTGGTGGCCGGGAGGAAGAAGGCGCCCGGGCCGCCCGAGGGGAGCCCCGTGGAGCTCTACTACTCCGTGCAGCCGGGGGACGCGCGCGGGGACTGCGCGGGCGGCGACGTCCGGAAGGGCAATGCCGTCCGGCCGGGGAAGGACGGGCTGGACGAGGCCGTGCCCCACCTGCAAAGGATCGGGAGTGTCTTCCTATACCAGACGGGCAGCCGGCCGGCGCTGAGGGAGCTGCGTCTGGACAGCAATGTGGCCATCCTGTACTCGGCGCACACGGCCAGGCAGGGCGACGTGCTCACCTTCCCCGTGGCCGTGTCCCGAAACTGCAGCGCCGATCGCTTCACGCTCAGGTGAGTCCCTGGAGCACCTGTCCCCATGCCTCCAGCCCCCACTCTCTGGCCCCAAGAGCTGCGTTCACACCTCCAGAGGTGGGACGCCTTCTGAATTTCCTAAAGCCCCTTGTCAGGGTGGGATGGAGAGAAAGGTTTGCTCTTTCCCAGTGGGCTGGCAGTTAGGTGGTAAAGACGTTCTGATGTCCAGGATAAGCCAGACCCTCCCGGAGCAGCTCGGGGGATGTGAATCTGCGCCCCCCACCTGAGCCTGGGGTCTTATCGGAAGTCTGAGGAATGCAGGGGGTCCCACTGGGCCCTTTGCGCCTTGGGGAGTCCAAGAGCTCACAGTCGCGTTGGCAAATGGGATTCCAACAGTTGTCTGAAGGAGAGAGGATAGTTCTGCCAACTCAGATCTATTCCCAGCCTGTGAGTTCTAAGTATGATATGGTATCGAACTCCCTTAGTTTGTTTCTCTCCGGAAATAGAGCTCAGTGTTCAAAATATAAAAGAGCATAATGTGTGAAGCATCTACCGTAGCGTTTGTTGAGTAGCTTACATAAGAAAATACCAAAGACGAGATATTTAAGAGGAGTACTGTGCACTTTGGGGGAAGAATGGGTTCCTTATCACTCTGGGAATATGTGAGAGCAGCTCCTTGCTTTGGCTTGATGGGATTTTCATGAAACCGTTTTCTGTTTGTTTCAAACGCGAGATAGCTTTGCTGCACAGGTCCCTGGGCGTCCGTGTGACTGGGTCTTCCTAAAAGCATCTCGACGACATTGTTACCCAACACGGAAACTTGATCTCACGTGCCACATACAACACCTGCGATGACCCCAGAAGACAGGATGTTTCTGTCCGTGACACACAGTTTCCGTGTGGGGTTTAAAGTTCATGCCCCGAGGGTCAGGTCTCTCGTCCTTCTCCCTGTGGGCTTCAGATCTGCTTTTTCTTTATTCTCCTTTCTCTTTGTTTTTGTTAAGGGGTGGGGGAGTTTCAGAAAGGAATCATTCTTTCGCTTGTACCTTGCACATTTATGCTTTGCTGATTGTGACCTTTTAATCTTAACTAAAGGTACAGAAGCCCATGCACCACATTAATCTAATGATTGGACATGGCTGATTCTTGGCAGGTACAGACCTTTGGCTTGGCCTGATGGTGCATCAGGGGACTGACCCCCGGGGATTTAGGCCACAGAAACACATTGGCAGGGCTGAGGCCTCATTAGCTGTCCTTCTGTCCTCTGGAATCAGCCCGGGATTCAGCTGCTCACACACTCTGTGCACGGTTTGCTGGCTTTGTGCTCTGCTTTTCTAGGATTGACGGTCTTATAGAATGTTCTTGGTGGCGATGGTTGCTTATGGAGGGAACTGTTTTGCTGATAGAAACCAAAGGTTTGGAATAAGGAGAGCTTTGTTCTTGCCTGAGTTTGGACCCTCTGCCATCCTGTATGTTTGCCAGTGGCTGGTTGTTGAATTCCTGGACCCAGGGTGAAAACCCCAAATCTCCAGGAGATGGTATTTGTTTCCAGTCTTTTGGAGAGGCAGTCGTATGTGTCCCATCAAACTTCCCAGAAGGCTTTGTTCTGATGACTACCCATTGCACGTTAAAACGTGGGCAGCGGAGTCCTGAGGACCGCTCCGTCATTGGCAAGCTGCCACAAAGCCAGCAGAAATTTGCTTTGCTGAGCCGTGTCATCTAAGGAGTCCAGATCTTTGCAAGCGCAGAAACAAACACATTTTGAAACTCCTAGATGTGGTCGCCCTACACCTAGACGTCAAGGGTTTGAGAATTTTGAATGCATGGCGAAAGTGTACTTGTTTCAGAGTTGGCCAGTTAGAAATTTGTAAAGAAAAGATTCAGTTTCTCAGTGCAGGTAATAGTGAAATTGATAGTTCATGAATGTGTGTTGACCCCGGTGAGGTGGGACACTTTCTGTCCCCTGAGCAGCAGTAAGGACGCGCTGGCTGCAAACTTGAAATGCTTTCATGACGAGCGAGTCCTAGGCGTTTGTGACAACGGCTGGAGGTGAACGCGGGTCCGGTCATGCTCTTAGCATCGAGTTTGAATTCTCCTAATTAGAAAAGAATAAAACACTGTATCTTTTTTAATGAAGTCCATTTCACACTAATTTAGCATAGTTTCCAAATACTTAGACTGGGTCCGCTCTGCTCTGTCTGCATCTGGTCCTAATAACCCTGCACGCTCCAGCCACGCATCCTTGGGTGCTTTTCTCTGAGTGCGTGATTTTTGTTTCTAGACGTTCTGTGTTGACATGCTAACATGGTCAGGGGCGGGCTGATGTCTTATAGGTCACGTGTCAGCTGGACTTGCACGGTCACTTAAGGATGACCAGGGACGGGAGGGGGCTAAATTAAGTGCCACCAACAGGAGGGAGCCCTCCCCACCATATAGCAGCTGACATTTGAGCTCTTTGCTGGTAACAGTTGACTCCTAGAAGACAGTAACTGCGTCAGCTGTTTCTGTGCCTGCGACCTGAGGGTGACACCGTGGCTACTGCACAGGCCTTCGGTTCTAGGAATCCAGTTTTGTCCTGCAAATCATCAATAAGGGTAGTTTAAAACAGTATCTGTGTGTGTGTGCAGGCGGGAGTGTGCACGGTGTGCACATGTGTGGATATGGGCAAGGAATTGCATGCCTGTGTGTGCAGGCGGGTGTGCACATGTGCGTGTATGGGTGGATGGGTGTGTGCATATATGGTGTGTGTGCAGGGTGTGCATATGTGCGTGTGTGTGCAGACAAGTGTGTGCATGTCTGTATAGGTGGGAGTGCCCATATGCGTGCGCATGAATGTGTGCATATGTGGCGCGTGTGCAGGCAAGTGTGTGTGTATGTGCATGGGTGTGTGCAGGGATGGGTGTGTGCATATGTGTCAGTGTGTGCATGAGTATGCGTATGTGTCCGGGTGTGTGCGTGCAAGGTGTGCGTGTTCACAGCGAAGAAGCGGAGAAGCTGGGCGGGACCGTTTGTCATCTTAGGAATCCGTTCCCTCCCGCAGCTGCTGTCTTCCCAAGCAAACCTCCCCAGAAGAAGAAAAGCAAATGCTTTCCTTCCTTAGACATCTAAAGATCCCTTTTTATTTCAGAAAATATTTTCCTTCAAGTGAACAACTGAAGCATCCCCCGGCACTCGGGCCCTTTCTTCATGTTCTCGCCTCCGGTTCTGTCCCGTTTCTCCCCCCCAGAGAGAGCCAATTTCAGAAGCAACCTAGGTCTCTAATCACCTGATTGTGTGTCTGGAGGAAGAAAAGAAGGTGGGCTCTCTCTCACAACCCCCCATTCTTCTGTTCCTTTTCCCCACAGGACATCAGTTCGAAAGGGGTCCTGGCCGTCAGCTCTGAGTGCGGGGCTGGGACCACATATTTGCATAGCATGAGCTTAGTTCTGAAAACCTCAGGAAGTGCTGGTGGAAAGGTCTGTAACGCCAAAGAACAGGGGCTTTTCTCGAAGCCAGAGACCTTCTCAAATCCGTTGAATGAAGGAAGGAGTGAGTGGACCCGTGGTTATTAGGAATGAATGCGTATACGTGACTCAGGTCTTTGCTGTTTAACCCTAAGTGCTCGGGAGCGTGTGGAGGACAGTGTGTCCAGCACGGGGTCACGTGGCTGTCTCCGAAGAAGACATTGTTCCTGAGGCGATGTTCTTGGGAAGATGAGAGTTAGGATGGCAGCAGCAAGAGAAGATGATAAGAGTATTTGATGAGGGCAGAACCCAGCCTGGGTTGGATCAGGCTCGAAAGATCTTCACTGGTGGTTCGTGACGCCCACTTTGCAGGATTCTGAGCTTGTTAGGACTTAATGTGGGTGCTTGAGATTGGTCCTGACCTTCACTCCCTCGAAGCCTGCAGCTTTGAACCTGTCCTGACCTAGAATCGGGTCCTTTTCTTAGTCTGTTTCAGGTAAAGTATGCCCTGGTACAGCCAGCGATATTCTTCATTGCTGGACATCAATTCCAGTCCAACTTATTTACGGGAAAATAAATAAATGAATGAATGACTGAATGAATGAATGAATGGCTTGCGGGTATATATGATGGTCTCAAGCATTAATAAGAGACGGGGACACGGGCTTGGTGTCTGCGAGATGGTGGACAGCACAGCCTACTGCAAGCACCTGTTCCCACCCCCGGCTGTGAACTCCTTCCTCTGCATTTCTCACGCTCACAACAGGTGCAGGGACTTGGGGGAGGCTCCCGCTAGCTCTCGCGTCTACCTGCTGTCTCTGCAGGCGGTGGGGGAGGGGCTGCCTGTGGCTCTAAGAGCACATCCCACGCGCGCAGGTGTTTCCTTCACGAGGAACCCATTGGGAAGGAGGTGCATGCCAGGTGTCCCCAAACCCCAGGATGCTCTGTGACATCTGTCCCTGGGACTTGCCTCCCGTTGTCATCCAGCGGACATTAGTGGAGTTGTGTGGAGTAGACAGCGGGCCGGAGGCGGACGGAGAAAGGAGGGTGTTCTCTCTGTTTTAAACGAGCTTTTGGTCTTAGAGAAGATGTTGATCTATAGGGCAGTTGTGGAGTCGGTGGAGGACAACCCCAGATGCCTCACAGCTGGTTTCCACCATTAGTCACGTGTTACATTAGTGTGGTCCGTTTGTCACAATTAACCAACCAGACTTGCTTCACGGTCCCCTAGTCTCTGCCCCACACCCCCTTCTCAGCTCCAGGATCCCAGTCAGCACGTTGCATTTGTGTGGTCATTGGGTCTCTATGGACAAACACCCCCCCACCCCCCGCCAACTGTGAACATTTTTACTCAACTGTTCAGAAATTGGAAGAAGAACGTCCCTTCGTGGGGGTCGGGGTGGGGGGGTACTTGTTGCATGGTTTTCTCAAAACTAGATTGGAGAGATGAGTGATGGTGGAAACCAGAGAGACAAAGTACCCCGGTCGTCCCATCGTGTCAGTGATATGCCTGACTCACCACGGCCACGACCTCACTTTCGCTGGTGTGGAGTGTTCCCTGGACCCCAACCCGGGGCTGCCTCCCCCTGTCCCCCC